TCTCTGCCATGCATTTTTTTATTCACAGTTCTTTTCATTTAATAATTTGATCAACCAAATTATTAAATGAATAATTAGACTAGCATCACACCCTGCTGTCACATTGTAACAGAATTCATTTTATTCTGTTCCAAGTAGCTTCCACGACCTCTTTCCTTATGTCCACTTCTGATCATTTTGTGTGGAGAGAAATTATCTTCAAATGCTTTTAATACAAGATTCTTACTTTGTAACCTTTCAGATATTTTATTTTTTATTTTATTTTATTTCATTCTTTCCTTTTTTCCATACCATTTTCCCTAAGATTCACCAAGAATACTTCCAAATAATGGCCCGTCTGGTCATGTCTTAGTCTAGGGCAGTGTTTCCCAAAGTTGACAATTTTAAGGCATGTGGACTTCAACTCCCAGAATTCCACAGCCAGCGAAGTCCATTTACTAGCCAAGGGAGCAGCATCATCTGAATATGCTTGTGTGGTCATGTAGCCGGCATGATTATATGCTGAGATGCACAGAATGCTGTTACCTTCCTGCTGAAGGAGTACCTATTTATTTACTTGCATTTGCATGCTTTCAAATTGCTTGATTGGCAGTAGCTGGGGCAGAAATGGGAGTTTACCCTGTCATAAGGTACATGAATCTTGAACTGCCAACTTTCTGGTCAACAAGCCCAGCATCTTAACTGCTAGGCTACTGTGCCTCCTGTATGTATTTATGTATGTACATTCTTTCTCTTATATTTGCAACCATGCAACATATCTATTTTTCTTCCCCTTCATTCATTTTTACTCTTTACCACTTGCTTCTCTCACATTGCAAGTCACAGTTTTTCACATGGTATGTTCATCACCAAAAGGGGAAGTTGGTAATTGTGAGAGAACAACAGGTAGCAGCAACTTTCAGTTGTTCATTTATTTAACATCCCACCTATATTATTTTTTTATAGCAACAACCTTGTTTGAGTTGGACTAAGAGAAAAATGACTGACTCAAAATCACCTACCCAGTATTTCAGATCTAAGGCAGAACTAGAACTCACATTCTCCCGGTTTCTAGGCCAGTACTTTAACCACTATACTAAACTGGTTTTTTTTTAATCATTCTGTTTATTTACCCCAAGAAGTATGGATGGGATGGCTGATGCCATTGTTTAAAAGAGATAGATGAGAGGACAACCAAAGAGCTCAACAAAGCTGGACTTCCTGCCTTGCTGCTGTTTCTGAACTTTCCTTCTAAGCAACAGTCAAGCCAGAAATTAATTGACTTAGCTCCCTAAGGGAGGTGGGATCACAATGGAGGGCTGGAGTGTTGAGTGGTGTCAAAGTTCTGGGTAAAAGTGCCGTTTATGTTTTGCTTTTATACCTTATTTCTAGGGAAGAGATAATCCTCAATATATTCTCAAACTGAAGGAAAATTCCTTGTTCCAGCACTTATAATTACCAACCCATGTTTAACTGCTTCCTATTTCTTGGATTTATCCCCCTGGATAAAACACAGTGAATAATATTCTGCAACAAGAATGGTTTCTTTCTTATCTCAAAGGACATGGCTTTTTGGCCTTATGGCTACTGACCATTGCCCTCCTAATACATTTATGTACTTTCAAGATTACATAGAGAAAACACAGACGTTCCCAAGGGGTAAACCACAATATTAGGACAAGAAATTGTTTCCAAATTGCAAATTTTCCTCCCATGGTGCTACGGTTTACTGTTCTCCAAATCAATATGCTCAGTGACAGAATACATGCTTTGCATAGAAATGATCCCAGGTCCCTCTGGTAGGGCTGGAGAAATTTGTGACAGAATACTGGAAAAAAAAGTGAGCCACCTGAGTCAACAATACTGGGGAATGTGGATTAATGGGGGGACTCAGTCTATCGCCACTTTCTAGCTCCTTGTGTAAGAAGAGAGAGTGACTGTAAGGCAGTGGGTAGTGTGGCATCAAGTTGCTTGAAGGATCAGTGTTTGCACTGAGTTTTGTCTCAGCTGACTGGGAATACACTGGCATTATTTGTAGAGAACTGGCACCATGAATGATAGTGTTTAGTTAAACTGGAAGGCTACTTAATGACAGTGATGGTTGCTGAGAAAATAAAGTGAATAATAACAGCCACAATTTATCTGTAATGTTATAATGAATGTAAAGATTATGCCTAGCTCAATTCCAAATTCTCAAAGTACAAGAGGTGTTGATCATGCTCAAACTATATACATATATATATATGTATATATGTGTGTGTATATATATATATATATATATATATATATATATATTTGTTTTCTGAGGTTTTCGCGGGTATTTGTATATAGGTCTTTGGTTGTTCGGGTTTTCTCCCGCGTAAAATTGGAAGTGTCCAATTTTACGCGGGAGAAAACCCGAACAACCAAAGACATATATATATATATATATATATATATATATATATATATATATATATATATATATATATTGCTCTACCAGTATCAGATCAGCCTTTTTTTAAATCAGCTGCAATGGGAACTTCAGGAAAAGAAAAGAGTCTGAGGGCATCAAAGAAACAAATGCTCCCAAGTGATAAAAATACAAGGAAGGATTACAAGAAGCTTTCAAAGACAGCCCTTTGAACTAGGGCAAATCCAAGCTAATCCATATGGGACTGAAGTTCCAAAACAAGAACCACTCATATTTATACAGAAGCAGATTATCAAATGAGATTTCTATTGGGCTGTTTAGTTTGTCCGGGGTTCTGTGTGTTGGGCAGAAATAAATACATGTTGAATTGCTTGCATGCAGGGAGCTTAAAGCAAGATTAGGAGTATCAGGCATAATGAAAGGGGAAAATTAGATTATATCCTGGAATTGGATCCTGCTTATTGTCACTATTGTCTCCACATGAAAGCTCTACCCCATTAATGTTCAGGGTTAATGACATGACCAATCCGCATTACTCCAGGTCATTCCGTAGAAAAAAAGACAAAGTTATTCTCAGAGTATTTACTCCTTTCTCTAGGCAGGGATATAATCTCAAACTGGGTCTCAATAGACTGGATGAAAAGTCCTTGTGAACAGCATCTGACTCAGAGGCCATAAGTTCCCCATTTTTGACCTATAAACAAATATAGATTATTCCATTTACATAATATCTGGAAAAGAATAACAATATTTTTCCCCTTGGTGCTTTAAAGATGAGGTAGATAATTTTCTTATATAGTTCAAAAAAAGTTCCATGACTATAACATATTTCATTGAAACTTAAATATTGAGGCAAATAGTCCTGCGTGATGTTGTGGATGACATTAGACAGATTGTAACAAGGTGAAGAAGAAAGGAAGAGGAGGAGGAGGAGGAGGAGGACGAAGAAGAAGAAAAAGAAGAAGAAGAAGAAGAAGAAGAAGAAGAAGAAGAAGAAGAAGAAGAAGAAGAAGAAGAAGAAGAAGAAGAAGAAGAAGAAAGATCTTTGCTGTTGCTATGTTGTCTGCCCTTAGTTTTCCAGACCCACTTTCAAATGTTTGCAAACCAGCCAGTCATATTTCAGAGAATCACCAACCATCTTGCTAGTGTACTCAGGTGGAAGTGATGGTTGATCATAAAATCTTCCAACAATAAATTTCATAGGATACTTAAGTGTTGTGCAATGAGCTATTTATTTTTATATGCTAAAAATGCTGCCAATCATTTTATAGGATGAGCTTAGTCTACTGATGTTTTGACTTGAAACCTGAGCAGAATTTTCTTTGAGTAACTAGTCATATCAATGCATCTTGCTGCACTCATATAAGCACTGGGAATAATCTCTTCTAGTGGTAGAGATTATCACTGATGCTGTCAGTATCATGACAAATGTTTGTTATTGAGTGTGTCACATTGTCTTCTCCATGCTAAGTAAAGTGCCATTAGTTGTAACAATTTGATGATTATGACTACTTCCTACACACTGGCCATGTTCCCCACCACATTCTATATCCTAAAGATTGGGATCCAGTGGTAGGCCATGTCTCTAAAATCTATTATTCGGTGGCACATTAGCCTTCCAATGTGATTTAGTGCAGAAGGATGTTGTTGACTTCATAAAGTAACTATCACTTCTTAACAGAAGATCTTCCCCTATTCAAAGCACCCACTATTTTTAAAAGACAGACTAATTCAATCTGCCTAGCAAACGTAGCTCAGATAATTTAAATTCTGATTTTAGAAATTTGCCTCAATAAATAAAAATGCACAGTTAGTTGACTGGCTGAAACTGTAGATCTTTGTAAATCTTGTGTTCTAGCAATCCTTTGAACCATGGATTGCCTGCCTTGCATTAGCAGCTGATATTTTCTGTTTTGCTGTTTCATGGTTTTTCTCCAGAAGATAATGAACAACTTATTTTGCAACATCAGATACATAAATTTTGCCTTGTAGATAGAAAGTCTGCTTTATGGATTAGATACTGTAATTATTAGTGTATTTAAAATGAAATAATTTGAAATGACCAAAGTTTTGCTCACTGTTGGGCATAATGGTAGGGTTTAAAACAATATAATGAGGAATTTTTATTTGCCTAGGATAGAATTTGCAATAAAAGCTCACAAAGTCCAACAAAAAAGAGATTCAGGATTTGTGTTCCTCCGGCACCATCTTGGCTGCTTGGCTGCATAAACACATACGTTGTTCAATGACTGTGGAGAAATAATGACTTTCCATTTAAACAGTGGAGCATTCTGCTTAATAATAAATACTCTGCTGACATTGTTAAATGATAGCTTGGTTCTAATAAACCCCATGTTGATCTGTGTGTTGGTTAAAGTGGGTGATTCATCTTCCAGGGCTGCTAAAACTATCGAAAGGATTATAAAGATGGCATGAATTAGGCATCCAAAAAGCAGCTTCCCTCCTGCTAGGCTGCCTATTTTTAAAACCATCAGAAAATATTGGCCATTTATTTAGTCACTGCTTCCCATTATTAGCTAACTCCACTGCTCATCAGGGAAGGAATTTTGTGATGTGCTGTTTATTGAAGCCACACAGTGAAGGCTCTGCCTTACTATCCTTTTCTCTCTTGTATTTGAGTTGAACCAACTACAGTACTATCTTCTTCCCAGTGGCTTGTGTAATAACTGTTCTACTTCATTACATCTGGATGGTCTCTTACCTCTTCAAGCAGCAAATGAAGGTAGCTAAAAAAGATGGACAGTATCCAATAGTTTGTAATTGTTGGATTCATACCTACTAATTCTTGGTGTGGCCAAAAGACATAAAAAATAAATCCCACAATAGCCACTGCCACCTCTCAGGTTGATCTGAAAATATTCACTCACAACATTCTAAGTGAAATCTTTGCTTTTCTCAGACATATCAAATCTTATTTTTTTTAAAAAATCAAATAATGAATCTCCTCTTTTTTAAAACCTGCAAAAGTTTACATCTAAACTAGTAATCATAAACTGTCCTGGTTTCATTTCTAGTTAGTTGACCACCATAGTTGTGGATGTTAGCAAAAATTACCTTCCCAAAGTAGAATACATTTTGCTAGTTAAACAGAAGCCCCCAAAAGCTTTCATTTTATTCACACACTTCTAGGGTTGCTAAAGCTGAAGAAAACTCAATTTCGTTCTTTCTTTGTAAATGACTGTTGAAAGAGGAAATCTAATTATCTTAAAATCTAATTATAGTTCCAGCTACCTGCAAGAAGGAGGTGGGAGATGGCTCCATCAAATTGATTACAGAAGCCGTGTTCAGCATCCTGCTCATTAAAATTCACTGTCCAAGGAATTCACCACCATATTAGTAACTTTCTTTTAAGGAATGCTCCATTTTTCTGAGAGCTTTGCATTATTTGAGGCAGGGGACAATCTGATGCCCCCAAATATTTGAAACATCAATCATTAGCTCAAAAGTGCATGTCAATAGCCTGTGTAATTCAAAAACTAGATTGTTTTCAGTCCTGATATGAGTGCAGCAAGATGCATTGAGATGATGTTACTCAAGGAAATTGTTGCTCAGGTTTCAGGTCAAAACACTAGTACCCTGAGTTCATCCTACAAAATGATTGGCAGTATCTTTAGGATATAAAAATAAATAGCTCATTGCACAACATTTAAGTGCTTCATGAAATTCATTGTTGGACAATTTTATGTGGCTATTAATATGAAATCATTAAAAAGATTACATTAATTTGTAAGTGATAGCTTTACAAATGCATAGTGCCACAAAAACTAGAAGTAGAGCTTTTGTGCAATATACTGTATCTCTATTATGTATTCCTAAGTACCAATTTCTTAGTGCATGGTGACCTGGCATGGTTATCTAAATCATAATATAATTCTGAGCTTTCTTGCAGAATTTATGTTGACTGAATTCACACATTGTGCTATGTCATAATGAGATTTCTAAGGTGATGGCTATAATTTTTGGTGAATTCTTCTCCAGCAATTAGACCAGGCTATCGAGTGAGCCTATATTGGCACTGTGGTTGTATGTTTTGAATTAGCTTGAGAGCCATGTTTTATTTTTGTTTTTAATTTTCATTTTTTTTATTTGTTGTTAAGCCAATCACATGTCAGATGGATGAGCAAACAAGGAAACATAGGCATTGTATCACATAAAATAGCCATTGTGAGTTAGTCCACAAGCAATATCAAAAACAAACCATGGATACAGTCATGCCTCAGTACTCAACTGCTTTAAGACTCATCAATTTGGAGCTCAATGCATTTTCATGTGAACATTTTGTCCCAGTACTCATCATTTGTTTGGTATGCAATGCACAAGCTAGAATTTTTCGGTGTCAGCTGCCTTGTGACAGCTGAAACAAAGTTGTTTGTCATGTGGTTTCTTTGTTACTCATCATTTTTAGCACTCATCGTATCACCTGGAACCAATTAATGACAAGTACCAAGGTATATGCACTGTATATGCATCAGGTCAGATGTGCCTTTTGCATGCCTATGGGAATGCTCTTCTCCTTGGTACTGGCAGGGTCCTCCTGGTTTAACATTTTGGAAAGCTGTGAAGATCTGGCTTTTCCTCTGGAATAGTATAGGATGAAGCTGGAGTTGGAAGAAAGTGTTATGGATTGTATCAAGGGAGTTTGGTTTTGGTGCCCAGTTTTTCTGTTTTCATCATTTTATTATTATTGTATGATATTGTCTTTATATTATGGTTATGAGCTGCCCAAAATTCTGGCTTTAAGATTGGTGACCATATAAGTATTTTAAATAAATAAGTGGTCAACAAAAGAGCGCTTTGTCAAAGGACCTCTTGTTTGATTTGTCATGCCTTGATTCTGCATTTGGCACTCGAATTTAGTTGTATTCAGTAAAGCAATGTCTTTTTACAGCTACAGTAAGCTTAGCATCTGCCCTTGATGACAATGGTTGTGTTCATATGTACACTGAACAATATAGTGCCAAACCCTTAGCATGTTGGTAGTTAATAATGTACCATATCTTGCAAAACCCAATATTAAGAAAATAATTAGTACAACTAGTTAGTAATTAGCTGTACTTGGCTAATCTTGAAAAACTAAGCAGAATTGGACTTAGTTTGTACTAGGCTGAAAAACTATGAGGATAGGCTAGACTGGCAATTTGGAAAAATATTTTGGAAAAAAAGCATCAAGAAACCATTTCTATCTTGTTGCCAAAATATCTGCATATCTATCCATACAGATCAACTGAAAACTCACTTGAAAGAGATTTTGTCATAAACCACATTTAAGTTTAGCAAGGATAAGTATGTCATTTGAAAATATCTTTATAATAACAATTTTGCAAGATTACTGGAAGACATCATCATCATCATCATCATCATAATAACAACAACAACAACAACAAAACAACTGGAGCACCACTTGAACACCATTGGCATTGACAAATTCGCTATTAGTCAATTGCAAAAGGCAGCCTTACTAGGAACTGCTTCCATCCTGCGACAATATCTGTAATACCATCAAACATCCACATCTGTCTATCCCAGGTTCTGGGTAAGGACTCGATAGGTAGAGAAAATGCCAAATCCAGTCTGAACATCTGGCTGACTGTGCAATGATTAATAATAATAATAATAATAATAATAACAACAGTAGTAGTAGTAGTAGTAGTAGCAGCAGCAGCAGCAATAATAATAATAATAATAATAATAATAATAATAATAATAATAATAATAATAATAATGTTGGAAGGGACTTTGGAAGTCATCAAGTCCAACCCCCTGCTCAGGCAGGAAACCCTATACCAGTGGTTCTCAACCTTCCTAATGCCGCGACCCTTTAATACAGTTGCTCATGTTGTGGTGACCCCCAACCATAAAATTATTTTTGTTGCTACTTCATAACTGTAATTTTGCTACTGTTATGAATCGTAATGTAAATATCTGATATGCAGGATGTATTTTCATTGTTACAAATTGAACATAATTCTATTCTATTCTATTTTATTCTATTCTATTCTATTCTATTCTATTCTATTCTACTCTACTCTACTCTACTCTACTCTACTCTACTCTACTCTGGTCTGGTCTGGTCTGGTCTGGTCTACTATTCTATTCTATTTTATTCTATTCTATTCTAATAACAATTTAGGATCGTCTTCTTCCTGGTTATTTGAAAAAGATTCAGTTATAGAAATGACAACTTTCCGATAATTCTCTACATCTCCCAGCTTTGCATTTGGAGTGAAATGAATCCCAAATTGCCCTTAGTATATTTTATTATTTTATTTCAAAACGGTCAGAGAGGAGGGTAATTTCCCTAAGAACTGCCCGCCGTGGTGCTCGAGGAGCTCCTGTCTCTCAGCCCCGCCCCTTTCGAGAAGGAGAGTTCGGGGGGGCAGCAGAGGGAAAGCGTTCTCTTCTCATGGAGGAAATTGGCCTCAGTGGCTCACCGTACGCGAAGCCTTAAGCAGTGTGAGAGTTGGAAGAGCGAGGAGTTCCCCTTTCCATTCCTGCTGCGGCGCTTGCAGCTTTGTGGGTTGGTACTTTCATGCTCACGGATTCGAAACATCACAATGGCTCAGAACGTTCAGAGTGTTACATTGTCTCCTTCCTTCCTTCCCTCTTTGTCCCTTCCTTCCTTTCCTCCCTTCCATTGTTCCTTCCTTCCTTCTCTCTCTCATTGTCCCTTACTTCCCTCCCTCTTCGTCCCTTCCTTCATTCCCCCCCCAACAAGGGGAGGAGGACAGGCTGCCAGAGGCAGAGGAGAGCTCTGCCCAGCTCACTTGCTCAGCTTCACCAGAAAACATGCTGCTTGCTAAGTTAGCAGAAGCCCCAGGATCAGCGCTGGGCTACAGCTGATTCGCACTTCTGTTAAATTAGCAAGCGGCATGTTTTCTAGCAAAGCTCAAGCAACTTTGTTGGGCAGGAGCCAAGGAGAGCTGCTACAGCTGACCTGCTTCTTGGCTTCCCTGCAGAAGCACGGATCAGCTGTAGGGTTCGCCCCGATCCTGGACAAGAGGGAAGGAAGGAAGGACGGAAGGGACAAGGGGAAAGAGGGAGGGAAGGAGGGACAAAGAGGGAGGCAAAGGAAAGGAAGGAAGAGACAAGGGGAGAGAGGGAGGGAAGGAGGGACAAAGAGGGAGGCAAAGGAAAGGAAGGAAGGAAGGAAGGAAGGAAGGAAGGAAGGAAGGAAGGAAGGAAGGAAGGAAGGAAGGAAGGGACAAGGGGAGAGAGGAGGGAAGGAGGAAGAGACCAAGAGGGAGGGAAGGAATGGAAGTTCCAGCCAGCAGAGGCTTGGCAGCCCGGCTGCCGAGGAACAGAAAAGCTCAAAGCCAAGGAGAAGAAGGTGGTGGTTTCCTCCCAAAGGGGGCTCCTTTTCTCCACCCCTTCCCTGGGTTTGTGGGGAATTTCTCGTCACCAACGCTGACAGGTGGTCCTTCGAGCCCGCTGCGAGCTTTCTCATCTCCTTTGCTTCTCCCCCCTCCACTTTCATGAGGATTGTGGCGCCCTTGGGAAGCTGATCGTGCTTTGAAGCTTAGGAGAGGAGGAGGAGTCCCTTCCTCCTTCCCTCCCTCTCTCCCTGTCAAGCCCCGGCGGGCTCGATATGAACGGACGGAAGAGGAGTCGAGGATGGGCAGGGTGGCAAAGGAGACTGGCAGCCGTCGCCAGACCTCCCGGCTGACAAGAGCAAGTTTGGGGGTCACCAGCTGACAGGCGCAGGGGTTGGGTGCTGCAGCGGCC